CCCCTCCTCCCTGTCCTGTGGGCTCCAGGCCTGAAACCTCTGGCCTGAACAAGACAAAGGGCTGGCTGGGCGTGACTCCCTGGCTCACAATGGCCCTGGAATTCTCCCCCTTCCCCCACTCAGTGGGGTAACAGCAGTGAGCTGTAGACTCCCAAGTCTCTCCTCTGTCCCTCTCTAACCTCTGTTTCCACATGGAACCAGATAGGGGGGCAGACGAGTTTCCCTGGTGTTGGCCAGAGTGGCCACCAGGGCAAGCTGGGGAGGGCTAGCCTCCCATTAGTTCTAATTAAGGGGCTACACAGCCCTTAATTCGAACTAGTAAGTTCGAACTAGGCTTAGTCCTCGTACTTTGAGGTTTACCTAGTTTGAACTAAGCGCTCCGCTAGTTCGAATTAAGTTCCAACTAGTGGAGCGCTAGTGTAGCGCCTATCAAAGTTAATTCGAACTAATGTCCGTTAGTTCGAATTAACTTTGTAGTGTAGACATACCATAACTTCCCACTCTCCTCATCCACCTGGGAACAATCCTGTCCCACACACACTGACTTCCCAGCAGGCTGGTCACCCACAGTCACTGGGTTAGCAGCCTGCTCCAATTCTCTGGCTGTTCCTGCCTCATCTGGAACAACCCTCAGTCCCTCTGAGACTTCTCCACCACCATCCACACTGGGTTTCCCTAAACCCAAGTCAGTGGAGTCACTGTTAACAGACAAATTCTGTCTGCCAGGCACCAAAACAAGTGCCTCACACAACAAGCCACTGCCCTTTACAGGCAGAGCTTTCTCCTGAATGCCTTCTCCCAGCATGGCCCTGTCACCTCTCCCTGTTACTGCAACCTCTTGCTACAAAGACTGCCAGGACTCTCCTCCCTATGAGCTTCCTTAAGCAACAGTTCACCATTCTCTGGCTCTGCAGCAGCATTGCCCTGCTGAGCCCCAACCAACTCCTCCTGCAATTCCCTTACTCCCTGAGCCATCTCCGGCCCCTCCGGTGGATTCAGACAATCCCCTCTCAGGCACACAGACAGACTCACAAGAGACAGGGTCAGAGGCACCTGCTCTCCCTTTGCAGCTCTCTAGATGGCTGTGAACTGCCACACCATCATTAGGCTCCAGAGTTAACATGTCCTCATTCTCTCCTTGTGCCTGGCCCAAGGGGTCACCCTGGTCCCACAGAGTCGTTCCCCCCTCTTCCAGCAACACAGCAGCATCAGGCACAATATCAGTGTCAATACTGCCTGATCTTGGATTCTGGCAAAACACTGACTGGATCTACCCAGGTCAGAGCCTCCTTCTGCCCAGCAGACACAAACCTTGGGCCACCCCCCTCCTGGGCCTTAGCCATATCCAGACCAAACTCTGGGACAACAACACTGCTCTCAGCCTTCACAGGCTGTGGGGCACCTTCCTCAGACAAAGGAAGAAACTCTTCCCCACACACAGCCAGACAACCAGAGACAGCTTCTCCCTTGTCCCGACACCCCTGGCTAATCTCAGGCATACAGCTAGCCACTG